GAAATATTTGTATCTCAAATCGGCCTATCAAATAATTGCTAATAGCCCAAAACCATATCGTGAAAATATTACATTCCAGGCTTTGAAGCCTGATAAAATCCCCAAGATAGATTCATTTTCTCTGGACAGGGGTACACTAGTTATATTTAAAGATCTATGCGCCGATCCAAAGAAAGTGCAGGAGAAAATTATTCCTTATTTCATTAAAGGGCGCCATTACAATGTCAGTTCGATATATGTATCTCAGAGTTACTTTGACTGTCCAAAAATAATACGAAAAAACCTCTCACATATCTGCCTATTTAACGGGTTGTGCACTACAGACGAACTAGTCAGAATTGTGCGTCAATATGCTAATGACTGGCGTAGTGTGATTAAGATTATTGATAAGGCATTATGTGAGAAAAAATTCATTGTTTTCGATCTAACAGTACCCCGCGAGCATCCATACAGGATACGTGTCGGCTGGGACCAAGTTTTGGAAAAAAGTGTCCTAACTAATGAGTAGAATTTTCGCTCAAAGCTATTGATGAAGTGAGTCGAAACGTATATTTTTTCTGGACTTCTAGGTCATATTCAGACTCGCTATGCCTCTTCATCCATAATTTCCTTTCATCAATGTTGGAATATATTTTCGGTTCTATATCCATATCACTATATTTTATGTGGAAAGAGATCCGATCAATAAGAGTGATAATTTTCCTATCCTTAGCAGAAATAATATCCTCCAGATGCCGGCATTTATTCTCTAACATATCAATGGACTTTTCTGCTGATGCAATAGCTTTTTTCGTATCAGGAATTATACTTTTGAAGAAAGCTACCAAATCTGATAATTGGGTGACTTTCCCACCACTCTCCTCCAAAGACCTGGTCATGGCTACCTCACGAGACTTATATTGCTCTTGCAAGTCGAGAAGCTCTTCAATCTTTTTTTCCAATACCTGCTTTGATATACACAATTCCTCATTTTCTTGCCTTAACGAAGTTTCACAGTCGCTAGTAATAGGCTTCATCTTCTGACGCTCTTTTTGCTTAATATAATTTCCAACCGCCTTATTTAACAAATCTTCCACTTCGGGATGGATAATACTTGCCTGTTCTATCGATAATGGATGTTTTCGTGAAGTAAGACGTTGCCATGTATCTATTTTGATAGAACGAGGGAGCTGGTTAAGTTGCTTTGAGTAATATACGTGAAAGGATAGTGTTAGTATACCAGTCATTGTTACCATAGGTAACTAATAAAAAATTTTGAGAATTTTATAAATTCAGAAATTTTATAAGAAAATTTTGAAAATTTTCCCGAAGATGCTTTGCTACGCGCCCAATATCACGGATTGCGTCACATCAGATAGGGATCTGCTAGAAATCTCCGCATTACGATTGGCAAAAAATTCACGTGATTTTGGCAGGGATGCCCTGGCTGAAATTTGCCAAGAATATATGATCACGTCTTTTGTGATACAGATAATAAGTTTTTAACCATTTCGTTTTGCAATTGCTTATCTTTCAATTTCGAAATTCTGGCCTTAAGCTCAGCATTCCTAGCTTCAATCTCAGCAAACTTCTTTCTAAGTTCGGCATTTTCGACCTCAAGCCTAGCAATGCATATTTTCAATGAATCAGTCTCATCTATTTCAGATTGCATGCTAGCGTAATGTAGTATTAGTATGTTAATATTCAAAAGTAAAAATCACGTATTTTCTGAGACCACCGGTCCCAGAAATTTGTCAAGAAAAAAATATTATATAGTATACTTGCTTTATTAATAATATAACTTAATAAAAATTACATGTATGAAATCTCTATTCTATGAATTTTTGGGGGTCGAAACTGTTATTACCATTTCGCTAGAACTATGCTCACTATCCCCAGAGTCAGGATTATATAATATTTTGTGAAGTGTACATGTTACAACTGTTCTCAATGTCAATAAAGTATGGATAAGCGAATATATGGCACTCGGTGAAGTTATATGCAACGGAATTGTTGCCTCCTCTATTAAGCAGTACTTGTAAATACCCGATTCTTTTCGCATAGCATAAAGTTTTATAACATCGCCTAGAAATGGATAAAGCAGAATATGAATGATTTATGAATATATATAAAAAAATAGAAGTAATGTATTTGTACCTGCGATATTAATAGTAAATATGGTCAGATTCTGCCTCATTGATGGTTGGTTAAATATCTTTTTAAGGTTTTTTATGTTCCTCGTAGTATCTATAAAATCCTTGGAAAAATGGATTAATTTTTTGTGATCACAAACCCGCTTATCCTGACTGGAATTAGGTCTACCAGTCTCAAAATACACAATTTCAAGTTCAGCATTTTTTCTGAACTGGGCTACCATCATATAATCGGCTCTTCGGGCAATTTTATGAGAACCTTTTCGTATGGCACTAGCTGAACTTTCTTCTTCACCCCTTAATTTAGAAAAGATTAATTATAGCAAAAGATATGATAGTGGCGTAATGGAACTTTTTGAGCTAAGCCTACTATATGTTTTATGCTATCGGGTTTCCTGGTAAATCGCTCATCACTATATTTAATAATAGCGCAAGCACCTTACAAACATATGATCCTTCGTTTATCGATTTTCTCTTCTTTATATATGCATCATATTTTGGCGATTTCCAAACCTTGAGCCTATAATTATTTATTGGTTAATAAGCAAAGTAAAAAATCATATAAACAGATTTTGGCTCGCCGGTGACTTACATAGATCCTAATATCCGTTTTGTTAGATCTTGCAATTCTTCGGGCTTATCCAACCATTCTCCATAATTAATATTACCCAAAACCTCGTCTATGTTAATTTTCGATTCTTCGTTTTGGATAAATTCTTTACAAGCTTCCATTATATCATGATTCTGTTCTAACTTATATTTTCGAAATGGCTCCTTAAAAATATCAGAAACTGACCCAGGCATATTTGTGAAGGGTTCCGACTTGATATCTAGAACACCTGAACAAATTGGATGATCGAATCCAAGGTTCTCCACATTTATTTCCTCAAGTTCTGTTTCTATTCTCTCCCACATGGTTTTCTCATAACTAGCACTCTCAGTCATGCACCGTCCAACGTCACGCTTCAAAGATCGTAAATTTGTATTTGCATCTTCATACCAGGCTTCTGTATCGATTACTAACGCTTCCATTTCTAAGAGTGAACATAGATCTTCGAATGCAGTCGTGACCTAAAATATATTTAAAATTAGTTTCCAAGACTCGTTTGACAAAATAATTTCATTTTACATCGCGGGATCAGATTAGGTTTCCATTTTCATAAAGTCTCAAGTGCCGGCAAAATGCTTGATATGTAGCTATATCCCACAATATATAATATAAAACTAGTTACTGCTGTGTAGGAAGTAATAATATTACAATGGACATCAGCCTCTTCACTAGTGATTATACCATACTAGGAAACCTAAAAAAAGCATGTCATCATATCCATATATTTATCATGAAAATAGTTATCGCCTTACCCGTTTAGCTAATTTTTTCCCAGTACCAAAAGTTTAAAGTTTCTTTCTTCGCTCGACATCTTCTGAGGGGACTTGTTCTAAGACTCTTTTCAAAACATTCTCAAAATTCTTCACCTCCTTTTTGAGAACGCCTATCCATTCACCTTCCTCTACTCGTACAAATAATGATGTGGAAATTCTGACAATATCGAGGGGTTCTCTTGTTAAAAGGAATTCTTCCATGTTTTAATAGAATAAGAAGTTAAATATTAATGAAAAGCTTGCTAGGCGAAGTGAAAAAAATAATGTACAATACCTTTTCGCCATACTGTCTTTTTAAATGTCTCGCATTCCTACATTCTCATTTCTTTGAGCTCGAGTTCTGTGTTTGGGAAGAGATAGGAGCAATATGCAAGGCACTTTATGCCAAAATTTTGTGTTAGAGAATAAAGGCATGTGGAATGTGCATTGAAGATCTCAACATTTACAAAGGGCGTTGGGGATTACGCATATAGACTTTATATATATTTCACTCATCCGACCGCTTAATACTAAGACCGGCAACGTTATATAAATATTGCTCTACTCGGAATATAATGGAAATAGCCGTCCCTCCAGAGCAAATATACATGATATTCTGCTAAATGCTATTCCGCTAAATGTAAGGGAAAAAATTCAAAATATTTTGGGGATCGTGAAATTATTTTGTCACACAAGCATAGTTTCACAGATGATTTGCAATGTATCCTTTATTACATCATATATACTTTAACGAGGATCGAAAATGTGCTAATTTATGTCACACACTGTTCTCCTACATGCATTGTGGCGGAGTGAAAGTAAAAAAAAAATAATGTAATCCTAAATTGGGTAGTAAAAAGATATTATCGATTTTTTAAGTACTTTTCATAATAGTCAATAGTAGATATCAATTCAAACTGAAACCTTTGCGAAAAATCAACACTTCCGTATGCTACATTATTCAATCGTCGTTCTAACTGATATTTCTTAACTTCTATCCATCTACTAGAAGAACAATAAACATACTTCTCATATGGTAGGGTTAATTTGACTGGATTAATTATTCCAATATATTTTGAGTAACATTTTTCTAAATAAAGCATAAAACTCATTGCAAGCTATAGCATACTCTTCTTGTGTTTCAGGATTAATAACCATCTGTCCTTTTCTAAGTATACCTAAGAATTTCTTTCTATCAGGAGTACCATCATTTCTCACCGCCTCCCAAACTCGTTTTGCCGAAGATTTAGGTCTCTTCTTGTAATTCCTATAAGCTCGCTGAATAACTGTTGTATAGAAATTTTCAAAGCTATAATTATAGTAGTATTTAGGAATCAAAAATCCCAAGATCGCTTCATTGATCTTCCTGAAATACTTCACTAAAATAGTTATATATTAGAGGATCTAACCTGCTCCCTTGTCCAAGGACTGCGGGAATAAATAACTCTGGCCTAAATATTTTTCTTGGCACCAATATTATATGTCACCTGGGATACCTTTGGTATTGAGGGGCGGGGCAGATCACATTTTTTTATCCGGCAGGTGATACATTCCACAATTTTACCAGGCGATCATGTATGCAGATTACATAATGCAAAAAAAATAAAGAATAAGTTATAATATTCAGTTGAAAGCAATAGTCTATAATTAAGATATTACTCAGAATCGGTCAGTTAAACGAATGTAATTTTTGTCCCATCTCTCAATCTTAATGCGGGCTGATTAAAATGGTTTATAGATGGTAGTAAGTTATTTTGTTTTGCATACTGAGACGAGATAAATATTTCACTTGTATTACTCTCTTTTGATCTATCAATCTGCGGAAGATAGAGTGGTTGCATCTTTTGGCCATTGTTCATGATCTGATGGAATTCCTTCTGTTTTCAAATATTCAAAAGGGCACGTTTCTGTCTGATATGCCTAATCCTTCTGCTAACATTTTCTAACCATAAAGCATAACTGTATAGTTTATTATCAGCGTGAATGCCAAATTTATCTTTAATACAAGTTAAAACAGTATATGGGTTTCTGCGTCTGAATTTACCAAATTGAATTATTTGATGGAAACTCATCCACTGATCCAATAGGATCAACTTTTTTATTTCCATATATTCTTCGAAATTTAGTTTGCAAAACTTGTTTCCGGTACAAGCAGTAGCCCAATGTTGGTACATACCCCAATGTGCTCCATTAAAAGAAATATATCGGAATTTCTCAGTTTTAAACTTGCCTTCCATACAATTATAAACATATCTTTCACCTATCGATAAGCTTTCTATTCCGAGATATACCAGTTGATTGCAAGAATAGCAGATTGCCATTCCACATTTCGGTGAGTATGTTTGTCCATCAACAAGATGTGGCAATGCTTTATGAGCATAAAAGCAATCTTCCTCACCATATGTATAATATTTTTTATTTCGAAAATACATTAGGCGATTCCAGATCCTGTTTTTCCACTCAGTTGGAGTTTCACTATTCTCAATATGGCGCATACCAATATATTCGATATGCTCTTCATAAGTACCCTCAAAATCATTACCTAGTGGAGATTTAGTCATATTAATACACTTGAATATAGCTATTTAACAATTTATAGCAGTTTACACAGCGATTTTTAATGATTTATAGCTGATTTAGCAAGATATGCTCTACTAAATCCCAAATTCATTTTTATTCGATTGGGATTTATATAGGATCATACATAGCCGGCTAAGCTAATTTTATATTTATGTGCATATGCACAGCATTTTCAGCTAAATCAGTTTGTGACATGATGTACTGTATATCGTATTACATGAGATCTCCCCTAGTTCCCTGTCAGTTCCTCGATAGTTCTAGGAGTGTTCCAGGAGTTGGTGAGTTCCTATAAATCACGAGATGATCGGCCCTGTAAAAAAATTATAGACTATCACGCAAATCATACATCCATTCCGCATGTAGCATACATTGATTAAAAAACATTAGATTAAAAAAAGGAGAAAAAATTCACTATTATGAACAAAACTTTATTTGATAAGCACATGTAAAACGTCTTTGTCTAATCCATTGGCAAGCGAAAATAATCTAAGGGGAAGGATTATCAAATATATATTTTTGTGTTTCAAAATCTCTGACGGCCCATCAGAAAATCACGTGACTGTGGCGCAGTAACCTATCTAAATTTCTCTCTAAGAGTATCGATATCATCCCAGCTTAATCTGTAGATTTGCGACACTAGGGTCTTTATCCGTTGTATCTTATCAAACCCAATGGTGCTAAATAAATCATAAATCTTTCTTGCTCTTTCTATCCTTTTCTCGATAGTATTTTTCGATAGATCACTTGGGAGTTGCTTTGTAACTTCTTTGACAAGCATTCTCTGAGCCTTACGTTCTCTATGAAGACTTTTAAATCTATCAAACATATTTTCAAGTTCTTCCCCAAACGAATAATATCGCAAAATAATCTCTTGATTTGTAGCTCTATTTTTGTCTTCAGCCGTAATGATTTCATCGTATAAGTCAGTAAGATTGCCTCGGTCTGCGATTGTGGGTTATGTATCAGTGGTATTCGATGCAGAGCTTAGTGTTGCTAACTCCTTGATAAGCCTTTTTAGAGTAGGTGATTCCCCGACATTAGTTGAGGTCTTCTGCTTTTTGCTAGATGATTTTTCGGTAGAAGCAGGTTCCATAGTACGTTTATTCTGCGTGGTACTCGAGCCTGGGTTTCAAAATTGTTGGTTACTGTTTCATCATCGTCAGTTTCCATATCATCAGTTTCCGTATCATTAGTTGGTGGACATATAGGACACGGATTTCGTGGATTATCAATACAGTTGTAATGGACAATATGCTTGCAGGTTAAATATACGAGCAGTTTCGGAGGACCTTGAGGTTGAGGGGCGATTCGAAGAAAGCCTAGAGGAGGGAGGGATGAAGAAAGGTCTTCAGAGCATTTAGCACATCTCAAAGTACTTTTGTCTTGCTGAGTTACTGGACCCTCAATCCCTAACATCCGTATAGGTGGTGAAGATAGGGCAAACGTTCCCATTGAAGGTAAAATTCCACTCAATTGGAAGGTCACTCTGGGATCCGGATTGAAAATAATACCAGTTTCATCTAAGATGTCCACACTCTTTCCACAGTCGGGGGCTGGACATGCGCTTGGAGTGCCAAGAAAAAGTCTATTTTCGATACAGAGTCTGAAAAATATGTTCACAGCTGAGGTATGAGAACGCCTTGAGAGGGAACATTAAAATGTCATTGCCACATTTGGAGCATGAACCTAGTTCTGGGAAATCAATATCTCTAACAGTTTTATCTTCGAGGCTTTTGAGAATATTATATCCAAGATTTCTAAGATTAACAAAAGAGGGTCTCTCAGATTCCGGAATACTGCTCTTTTCTCTACCACCATAATCGACTATGCTGTATTGGAAAGGTAATAATGGATCACTATGATCTGCCTTCCCACATGAGCAGAGTAATGTTCCATCTTTATGGATTTTTCCTGTATAAGTCTGGTGGATCATATCACCACAAACATTTAAAACGAGCGATCTAGGCGGGTCTTCTGTCAAAATGGGGATATCACATTCCATACATGGCCCATAATCTGGGATAGCTTCGTTAGATTTAATCGACGAAACATCCAGCGTTTGCAAAGTAAACATATCATCTGGAAGGTGTTTCAATATATGTAGTGCGAGTAATTTAAGGGCTTTGTTGCGTCCTGGCTGTACTTCATAAATATCTATATTTTGTGTATTGCTGATTGGGTCCGTATTTATTTCATCAGTAGTGGTCGCTTTCGTATTAACTAAGCTCGCTTGGTTCTCCATACCCGCTCACTGCTTACATATATCGTTTATGAGCGTAGTGAATTATCGGGGCTGAAGACTGGTATTTATAGCATTTCTAAATCTTGTATGGTGCAAACGGCTTAGTCGCATCAAATGGCTAAGCCACCGCTGAAAATCTTGCCGATCATTCCCATATTAAAATTGAAATTTGATTGGTCGAAAATTTAACATGTGACCACGCATAGTCACATGATACTAATTAAATATGTTATTTCGCGTCATTTTACATCATTTGCGAAAACGTTCTTTTCTTATACCCAAATTTAATAAAATGCCGAAACCAAATAAACGTATTAGACAGTCCCAAGAAGCCATCAATAAACGTTGGAAACAAGCAAAAAGTTCTGAAGTAGTAGTGCTTGAATCATCAGATGCTGAACCTGATGAATTTGATGAATCATGGTTTGGTACTTTTTGGATAGAAGGTGAGGAAGTACGTTTTGATAGTGATGAAATTACAGATGAAATACAAGTATAGCAACCAAATACACTACAACAGCTGGTTAAAAATGCAAAGTCATATGCATGGGCAGTAAATTCACGTAGGCCAGTAT